GAGCGGAATTTTTGTTTCGAAACGAAAATACGTATTCCACATAGCCCTTACATCTCCTTGCGTCTTGAGCTCAAATTTGGTGAACTCAATCTTTCCTCCATTGTCAATCGAAGGTGAATGGTACTTGAGTTTCACAATCTTTCAATTGTCTCCATAAGGTAAGAGATGATGCATTTTGTCTTTGATATCTTCGAGGAAGGTGAAATCGGTGAGCTTAAACGTTCGCCCAGGTGTAGAGTTGGAGAATGAGACATTTGTGACATTACCAATAGATGCTTATTTGCGACATTTGAGACATTTTCAATTTGTGTGAAATATGACATAAGACCACCTAAATTTATAGAAACCATAAATCAATATGGGTCACTCAATAGCTGACATATTGATTTCAGATATATATATCTCAAGAACCGCACGCATCTTCGGGACTTCTCCTAAACCACTTTCAAAACAAAACCCTTAAACATAACCTATTTTTTCATTTACAAAAGAACAAATATTGTTATGGAAAAGATTAAAAATGTATTAAGACCCAATATGAACAAATGGTGAATATATAATACTTCATTTATATTGAGACACAATTACATACACTTTGTCGGTTAAACAAGAAATTAAAAAGAATCGAAACATATGTCGTCGACTAAATCTATAGGTGGTACCCCCTTGGACTTTTGTGCATTTGATTCTTTTTTAATGTTAGTTCAATTTCTCGAATTTTTGCATCCTTTTCAAAAAATTATCCGGCCAAATCTCGACTTTTGTAGTTGAATGAGTCGTCCACTCAGGTGATGTAAGTGGTATAGGGCATCCTGGTTTCAAGTAAACTTGAACAAAATGAGTTGATTTTGAAAGTCATCCAATACACATGATATAATCATTTGAATTTTGAGGTAGGACGGTGCACAATAGGAAAAATATTTCCAAAAAATCGTATCGTGTAAGATCATCACACACCTTATCATACACGCATGCTATTAGGTGATCCATTTCAGGGAAGCGCATCTATTTTGCCTCCAGTGCCAGACCGCTAAGGCAAGGAACAAGAGACTCATAAATTTCATCAAAATTTTCTTTCTTTTTGTACAAATGTGTGTATGATTCTTTATGTGTCTTTAACTTTTAAATAAGTTGATGACGAACAAGTGTATAACTATCTTCTCCTTTACCGAGTAAAGCAAAAAGTGCTCGATAATTGAAATTATCGTCCCCCGCAACATTAACGATCTGTTCGATGTATTTGTGCATAAAAATCGACATCTCGTTGATGAATGGAATCTTTGGTGGAGGCGACGCATGAGGTGGTTTTCGAATACGAGCTCCTTTGACAACACTTTTTTGAGATTTTGGAGCTGGTGAGTCGGAAAAAACTTTGTCAACATGTTCAAAATATGAAAGAAACTATGTAGTCAAATTGTCATTCGTGTAGGCTTTATTTTCTTTCGAGCACCTTTTGTTTTTATCGGTTGAGATCACAGTTTCATGTCGGTGGTTTCCGGATAGGAAATCTTCCTCAATTGTTATTTAATGTGTAGTTTCATGTGGTCGCCGACTTTCAAAAATCTCTCTCATATCACTTTCCATTAGGTCAAAATAGAGATATTTGATTTACCATCATTCATGACTCCATCATCAAACCTGAGTCTCTTTCAATGAGTACAAACCTCGTCCATTCTTATTGGGTCACAAAATTTCACCTTTTTAGCAATAACATAGGCACATGGACAAACCATATGTTTCACAATTGTGCATCCACACTTTGCGTTATCGGAGCCTACATTATCAGCTCGTTTAGCCTCGTGAAAAATATAATTCAAACCTGCCCGAAAAATGTTATCGACCAACTGAGAATATAAAGTGTTCTCTTTAAATTTGTGTTCAAAAACTATAATGCTCCGACCAAATGATGTTTGTATCTCATTCTGCTGGTTTTGAATCATGTGGTTCACGGAGTCCTAGTCTTTACACAAATCACTCTTACTATTTACCAACCAATTTTTTAAAGTAGCGCGGGCAGACTCAACTGTATTAGTTGTTGTATTTCCAAGGTGTCTACCATTATAAGTTCATGCACAAACAATTTTCTCCTTCACCTAGTAAAGAATTGTGCTTTCAACATGTTTTAATAAACCTGGATACTTTTCAGACTCTTTCTTGAAATGCATAATGGAATCAACATATAGTTCTTTTGTAAAATAATGTATTATACGATTGCATGCATCCATTATTTTTTCCACCTTCACCTTTTCCATCTTCAGACTATTTATTTAGTCCCTACCGCAAGATTAACCTGATTTTTCACATTCTTTGTATATGATACCTACAAAATAATGCATTAGAAGAAGGAAATATCTTTGCAACTGAATTCATCAATGCAGTACCGCGGTCGGTAACAATCACTTTCGGCATCTAACCTTGGACCTTGGTCATTTAACAGTGTCCAACACACCTCTAGTGCCCAAGTAAAATTGTCTTCTTTTTCAAACTCAAGAAATGCAAAACCAACAAAATATGTCTTCTCAGTTGAGATAACACCAACCATCTCCAATAATGGAAGTCTATACTTGTTGGTCTTGTAGTTTGAATTAAGTATGGGCACCGTTGAAAACGTGTTGAACAACTTTATAAAATCAGGATGAGTTCAAAATATATCTCAAACAGTAACTCCGTCCTCGCACGTTCAGTACCTAGACACGTAACTCTTATCATCCAACAATTTCAAGAGTTGTTGCATCTCAATTCTACCCCCCATAAGCGCCTTGTTAGTTAGATACCAAATATTATACACTTGCTTAATATTTGATATATTTTCTGGTCGTTTCCTTTTCAATGTGTAAGTATATTTTTCGGTTGAACCAGATTCAAGGTCATGTCAGTAACATATTCCTTCTCTTTCGTCATAAGCCGACACACTAGGATGGCCGAATAATTTTCACACAAATCATGGTTATACAAACCACATATCACATTAAATCTCCAATTTTTATTTGTCAACATGTAACATGCACCTTAAGCAGACAGTCACGTTTTCTTGAACCAGTGTCGTCTCTTTTAAAATTATGGATAGGAGTTCTATATTTTTCGCTTCTTTCGCACGTCATTGTCACAAAAACACATATTCTATCCAAACCATTATCGGACCTTTCGATAATCACACCAAATTCAAGTTTAGAGGTCTCCATACGAATCCATTGAAACATTTGATCACGAGATTTAAACTATTGCTTGTTTTTAAATTGATTGCCAATATTTACCGCCTTCACAACAACACCTTGGACATTTGGAGCAATTTTGGAAAAATATCGGGGTGCACCATATCTAATGAAAACAATTAAAACCGTACATTATAAGGATGACAAAACGAGTCATGGCCCGTTGGACCGACCCGCGCACCTATCAAAAAATCGCAGGTTGGATTTAGATTTTGGGTCTGTCGCCCACCAAAGCCCGCCCCTCTAAAAACCCTCACCCGCCAAAGTCCGCCCAACCAAAACCCGCCGCCCGCCAAAGTCCACCACACCTATTCGTTCAGTTTGTCCCACCTTAAACCCGTCATTTTTTAGGTAATTTTAGTAATTCTAATTCTTGATGGTTTTATTTTATACATTTATTTGAGAATATATGCAATATTTTTTGAAGTAAAATTTGTTAAAAAGATACTTTGTAAAAATTGTTCTAAAAATAAGTGAAAGATCTAATTGAAATGTAAAAATAAGTTTATTAATCTATTAAAAAAAATGAAATAAATAAATAAATAAATAAATAGGCGGGTAAGCCCATCGCCCGCCAACCCTTCACCTCGGTGGGACGAGCTAGACTTTTATGTTCATTTTCAGCCCTCCCTCCCTTTTTTATGGCGGGCTTAAAGCAGGATGAGGCGGGGCGGACGACCCGTTTGGTCACCACTGATACAGTATATAAGTGCTACTGTTGAAGACAGACTCGAAAATCAAACACAGATAACTTTCAGAGATGCATCTCCGGACAAGTTCATACTCGTTCCGGAGATACATTTTCCGGACACATTACTTTTTTCAGAAAAAAAAGAAGCATGATTAATGTGAACAACGCAGTGAAGAATGAAGGATCTTTACTTGAAATTTTATCTTTTTTTACTTCCTATGATATGATGAACCAAAAGAATGGAAATTCAGAATGAAAAAATGAATTGAGGATGGAGAATTTTTTAACGAAGGGTTTGGTTGAAATATAAAAATGACAAAAATAGCAATGTGATCATGCAGTTGTTGTTTTTTTGCCAGATTATTCCGAAAAATATATATTTATATATAGTGACAAAAAAATTTCAAATTTCACCCATATTTCTGAAGATGTAACTCTAAAATTTCTACTGAACTAGTAAATAATTAATTAAGATATTTCTTAAAATATTTCAAAAATATATCTTCAAAATAAAAATAATTCAACTTATGAGACGTCACTCAGAATGACCCTTGTTGAGTGTGTAAGAGATGCGTCCGAAAATACATCTCTAAAAATGGGAGACATTTCTGAAAATTCGCGTGGTGCACTAGAAACATACAGAGTGCGTTAAGATATAGCCATCAAATATCCATGAGTAAGATGAATCCAAGGTCCACCAAGAATCATTATGAGGTGATTATGAAAGTAATCTGTCTTAAACTTGACACAATTTTAATTCATGTGTAGGATTTCCAATAGACCCAATTATGATCCAATAAAGGAAACACTACTTTAAATTTCAGAGCAATGTGTGTAGAGTGCAGATTAAGTTGCAGAAAACTATTACCACATATACTAGTCTTACAATTGACATAACAATCTACAATACAATTGACACAACCATATACAAATTAGTCATCTTTTTTTACAAATATGGATTGTTACCTATGTAAAAGGTTTACAAATTGAACAATCTAGAATTCAATTCTAGAAAACATAACACTTCACTGCAGTGTTATTCCCTATGAAGAGGGACGCAACAAATATTCACCAAAACTTCAAATGAATTAAGGAGTTTACGTTGTTAGGATATCTGGAATTGTGGCGGAATGAGCCCCCAATATCTTACCACCAGCATCTGGGAAACTGTCACAGTCGGGTAATGAGCTGACCAGCCCGTCAGAATCAATTTTTACAGGATACTTAAGTAGATGTCCCTGTATAAGTGACAATTCGTCTGAAGAGTAAATTTGCCAATTATTGTTTGCAATTTCATTCACTTTCTGTACACACTCCAAACTCTCTGGTTCTTTAAAAGTTTCATCTAACATGCCAAGATGCTCTGCCCAAAGTGACATTCTATAACCATAAATCTGCAAGAATATAATTGATCACAGATATGCATAAGAGATAAGAAATTCAACATTAATAATCAAATTTTCTGAACATATTACAGAAAGTACAAGAGAAACATAGTTGAAAAGTCAAACTATAAATTATTTTTATTTGGTTTATACATACACAATTTAGTAATTTAATAAATTGTGAGGAAGTCATTAACATTTATGGTAGGATAGGGTTATTTTAAGGATGGAGTATGATTTACAGCTCATTGTGTTCGGCTGCAATACCGTAATTTTCAAATAGAAAAGTTGCTGATAGAGTTTAAATATAGCTAACTGATGAATACAAACCTGTCCATGTGGATGTCTTTTCCTCGCAGACCATGTGTAATGAGGTTGATATGAACCCATAGCTATCTCAGTATCTTTAGTACCAGCCATAGATCTTTGGTTTATGTTGGCCGATCCCACTATAACATATTCATCATCCACAATCATCCCCTTGGCATGCACATAAATCATATTTCGGCGATATTTATATGCTCCAGAGACCTGACAAAAAAAAAATCACAACATATTGGTGATCAATGTCTACCATTTGAGATAAGTATTTCAAATGTCAACTAGAATTTGGATATTATAAGAATCATGTAAACTGGAACATATATAATCAGAAGAAAAGGAAAAAATTGTTTTGCCAGATGAATTGTAAAATACCATCTACAATCTGAATAGTATAAAGAAAAATCTATCCTCACTCTCAGCTATTAAAATGTATAAAAATATATTCCTTTTCCATAATCATAAAGAATATTTGGCAAAACACAAATTTCAGCATTTTTTACAATTTGATCCTTGTTGGAAATTCCGTCTTCATAGCTGTTTGCCTCCAGCCGCCGTCTAATTGTGGCATTTGGGCCTTCATTGCAGCCCCCACCCCCTTCATTATGTTGGGTGTAAATGGATAGATTTAGTCCCACATTGCCTAGAAATATGACCTATATAGTGTGTAAGAAATTTGAACATCCCTCACCTACAAGCCGATTTTGTAAGGTTGAATTAAACCTAACACAAACTCTAAAATAATATCAAAGCCTGATTTGCTGCTAGGCTTACGACACCGTCCACACTTCAGGCTTACTGTTCGTTCCTAACAGCCTAAAGCTGTGGCATTTGGGTTGTCTTCACTGTATCCTCCAACACCTTCATTATGTTGGGTGTAAAAGGGTAAATTTAGCCTCACACTACTAAGTGATAAAGCATGTGTACTGTTTATAAAACTTGAGCATCCCTCCCCTTACAAACCAGATTTTAAATTTGACTTAGGCAAACAAATTAAAAGACATATCTATTTATGTGTCAAGTTCTACAGTTCATATACATGGTGAAAGAAAAAGCCAACAGATTTTATGTTTGGGCATATGTAAGTTAAGAACTGAAGAGGACGATTAAAAGGTGGTTGATGAACGAACTGTGAAAATTCAATGCTTTGTTATTTCCAAAGCCAAAGAAACATGTAAAGAGATAAAAACCTAAAAGATTTTAGTTTTAATTTTGTATGATCTCAAAATGGTCAATACTTTATACCAAAACTACATGAAATTCAATACTGAAGTGAAAAACACCATCAATAAATGGTCGGATGTATTGGAAGAAGTAACCAATGTTTATTGACAGTAGATAGCACAGAGCTTTCTTTGAGCAAAGGAAAATCAACCTTTTAAATACATAATCACAGTGGTGATAATAATGGCAAGAGATACCTACAGGCTACAACCATTGTTGTCTATATGAAGATTTCCTTATCTATAGTAGATAAGATGATTGTGAGATGAGTAGTTTTAGTAGCTTCCCTTCCCATAGGTTGCCACGTTAGCATAACTAACCAAAAGTAAGTTATGACTGAGTGTAGGATAAGGCAAATTTGGTGTAGGATAAAACTAGTTATATAACTACTTGTCATACTCTAATTTTTGACTCTAAGATCCCACGTCTTTTTACATCATCTGCATAGCATATGATGTCTTTCATCATGCATAGCATATGATGTCTTTCATCATGCATAATACCCAATTTATCAGCCATAATAAATTTGCTGGATTTACAGATGATTCAGTCAAACTGAAGGTCAACTGTACGTAAAATCAGTGGACGGAAAACGTTAAAATCGAGCTTGCAGTCATCAGTTATATTAATCTACGTTTCGCATAGTTTAACTTGGAGTGTTCATTTTAATTTTTCGACTGCTTTTCGATCGCGTTTTGGATCAGTTTGAGCCTTTTAACCGAAGAAAATTTATTTCAAAATTTGACCAACGATGTATTTTTTCGAATAATTTATTTTGCGCTGATAATTTTGGTGCATTCATTTTATTTTTTCAAGCACTTTGATATTAGTCAAATTATTCGTTTTTAACCGGTTTTCATTTAATTTTAGTTAATTAATCATTTTTAATTTAACCAGCTTTTTATTTAGATTTATTTTTAATATACTTATCTCTTTTTCTTTTTTAATTAATAAAATTTGTGTTTTCCCCTTTTAGTAAACACTTAGTTACTAAGTTTTGAAAAGTATTTTGTTTTTTTTCTTCTATTTTTGAAAACCTGATTTATTTGCATTGCATTAAGACTAGAACTACAAACGCTCTGATTTCTCATTTATCAATGAGAATACGTAGGCACAAGGACTCTAACCCTTGGCGAGCCACCTTTCCCTTTTTTCCCGTAGTCCTCAAACTACGATTGCTCTGATTCCATTCTTGTAAAGATACGTAGGCACGAGACTGCGAAGTCTTGACGAGCACCCTAATGATAAAAAAACCTCTTTAGGTTCTCTCTCTCTTTAAAATAAAAATCTAAAAACATTTCCCTCTCTTTTCTATCTCATATAAGTAGAATATTAGAAACTAACTTAAGCTAACATTCGTTCAATCCTAACTAAATGGCTCCCGTTAAGTACAACGGACGTGAGGAGTGTTAATACCTTCCTCTTTCGTAGAGGTGGCAATGAAATCAATTTAGATAATATCCATCCAATCTATCCAATAATTTATCCATCCGATCCATCCATAAGACAAAAAATAATTTAATGGATTTGATCCAATCCATCCACTAACTCATGTGGATGGATTCAATCCATCCATCTCATTTTATAAATCCATTGGATATTATGTTGTCACTTATTAAATTAAGATTTTAAAATTAATTTTTTGGATGGATGGATATCCATCCATTAGAAATATGTTAATGGATGGATTTTATCTTTTAATAGATGGATTGGATTGGATTTTTATTAAGAGAGTTTAGTGGATTGTTAATGGATTAATGGATTGCTTTGATCCACCCATTAACAATCCAATCCATATCCATCTAATCCATCCATTTTGCCACCCCTACTCTTGCTTAACCGATTCCCGAACTCAGATATTGGTTGTAATGACCATATCTTTGTCCTTTCTTTTAGGGGTTTTATTCGATATTTTTCCTTCCCTAATATGAGAATAAATAAAGATCGGTGGCGACTATGTTAAGTTCATCCCACAGGCGTGAGATTGCGCTTCACGAATCTAATCCATCCATTTTGCCACCCCTACTCTTGCTTAACCGATTCTCGAACTCAGATATTGGTTGTAATGACCATATCCTTGTCCTTTCTTTTAGGAGTTTTATTCGATATTTTCCCTTCCCTAATATGAGAATAAATAAAGATCGGTGGCGACTATGTTAAGTTCATCCCACAGGCGTGAGATTGCGCTTCACGAGGTCATGCTCACTTTTTGAGGTACGACAGATGACGACTCTGCTGGAGAATCGACGGTCATCATTCATCCCTAAGTCAGTCATGCCTAGTTTAGTTAGGTTTTCGCGTGTGTTAGCTTTGTTTGCTTCTCTTCTTTGATTATATGTTTTATTACTCTTGCTTTATTGCTTTTTCATACATATCTCTATATATCCATGTGTGGGTTTTAAGGATATGATATCATGATTAAAGCTCTACACCCGAGCTTTCGAAGAAACAGAGAGAAAACATAAGGTTAGAATTGAGAGTTAGCAGTGTTAAACTACGACGGCAAACTCATTGTAGCAACTAACATGAAGGCTCCTCTAGAGTAGACCTGTTTGTAGATCTCATTATAAAACAGTTAGCTTGTTGCATGACGTTGATTCATGAAGAGTCCATGACTCTAGGTCCCCTATTTAGAACCAATGCTATTTTGGTGGTTGCGTAATATTGGACTTCAAGGACATCTCCTTGCTCCAACCAATATGAAAACCCCGCTCAGAATAGACCTTTTTGTCACTCTTGTCATAAACCCTAAAAATTATCCCGTGAGCGGGTTTATGGGTAGATAATCTAGAACTATCCGTTATAGAGAGACCTACCTAATAGGATGTTCTGATTTACTCGTGTTATCCCAGATCCTAACCATACCTACATTGCATTTTCTTTCTGCATCTTGTGTTGCATGACATTGCATATCATTTGCATCCTTTGCATGATTCATTGCATACATCCGTTTTGTCCAGCAACTCATCTCCAGCTGTCTCTATCTTCTAGCGTTTTCTGTTAGTCGTCAAGTTGATTCCTCAACATCGATACAGGACTAGAGCTAACTACAGACACAAAATGTCAGAGCAAGAAGTACACAACACAAAGATCAAAATGGAGATTGATGAGCTTAAGTCAAGCATGACTAAACTCAATGAGACGCTCCAAGTCCTAATTGCCAGAGGAGAGCAACCTCAAAGGACTGTTATCTCCAAGAAGTTGCAAGTACTGTTGTTGATCCTCAACCTTCCCAAATGCCACCATCCACATGGTGTGAGTTTGGTTTGCCTCACAACTTCTCTCCACCTATTGCAACTACTGCTATGATTGGTCAAACTGTCAGACCAACATTTCAAGCTTCTGTTTTCGCCGAGCCCAGACCTTGGGTTCATACTATTACCCAGACTACCCAGACTCCTTTCTTTAACTACAATGCTGCCAGTGCTCAAGGTGAAGACCGTGAGGACTTTGTTGAACCTGAAGTTGTCCGTGAACAATTTCAGACCATAGACAAGAGACTCACAGCCGTTGAGGGTACTGACTTCTTTAATGTGGATGCAGACAGCATGTGTTTAGTTTCTGACCTTGTTATGCCTGCTAAGTTCAAAACTCCCGAGTTCGTAAAGTACAAGGGTCACTCTTACCCAAGAGCTCATCTGTCATGTACCTCCAAAAGATGGCTGCTTATACTAACAATCAGAAGCTACTCATCCATTTCTTTTAGGACAGTTTGAGTGGCGCATCACTCAAATGGTATATGAACGTTGAACAAAATAGTGTTCACTGCTTCCAAGATATTGCCAATGCTTTTATGAAGCAGTACAAGTACAACCTTGACATGGCTCCTGACCGCTGTCAACTTCAGAATATGTCTCAGAATGAGAAAAAATCTTTTAAAGAATATGCTCAGCGTTGGAGAGAACTCGGTTCTTAAGTTGAACCCCCTCTAGCAGAAAAGGAGCTTACTGGAATGTTCATGGACACCCTGTCTCAATTCTATTGAAAAAAGTTGATTGGCAGTGTCTCCTCAAGCTTCACAGATTTGGTGACTATTGGCCAAAGGCTAGAGGAAGGACTCAAGAATGGTAAGTGTTGATATTTGTAAATATATAGTGTTAAGAATATTTGTATATAGAATAGTCTCACATCTATCTATATATAATAATGTCTCTGTAGTGCTTTTAAAAACACACTATTTATTCAAATGTCTCTTAGTCTCTTGTATTTTAACATGGTATCAGCGCCTCGTTTAAGATTCGGTGGACCACCTTCTATGGTTTCCGCTATCGGGTCACCCACCATTTATTTCCACGTTTCAGTTGTCTAGTTCTGAGCGTGAGGGGGTGTGTTAAGAGTCTCAAATCAGATAATATATGGCATGAACACGTGTTTATAAGTGGGGGTAATCCTCACTCTACCAACCGGTTTTGTAGGGTTGAGTTAGACCCAACCACATTTCTTAACATGGTATCAGAGCTCCAGGAAAAGGTCTTGTGTATGAGGAGGATAAAGGACATAATCAGATAATTGGATACTCCGATGCTGATTGGGCAGGGTCACCCATTGATAAACGCTCCACCTCTAGGTATTGTGTACTTGTTGGAGGAAACCTTATATCCTGGAAAAGTAAGAAACAAAATGTAGTTGCAAGATCAAGCGCCGAGGCAGAGTATAGGGCCATGGCAATGACAACATGTGAACTTATTTGGTTAAAACAGTTGCTCAAGAAACTTCAAATTGAAGAAGCAAGACCAATGACACTTATTTGTGATAATCAAGTTGCATTGCATATTGCTTCAAATCCAGTCTTCCACGAGAGGACCAAACATATTGAGATAGACTGTCACTTTGTCAGAGAAAAGATCGAGTCGGGCGACATCGTCACAAGCTTTGTCAACTCTAATGATCAATTGGCAGATGTGTTTACAAAATCCCTACGAAGCCCTAAAACTAATTATATATGTAACAAACTTGGTGCATTTGACTTATATGTCCAAGCTTGAGGGGGAGTGTTGATATTTGTAAATATATATATAGTGTTAAGAATATTTGTATATAGAATAGTCCCACATCGACTATATCATGTAATTAGTTGTAATCTATCTAAATATAATAATGTCTCCGTAGTGCTTTGCAAAACACACGGTTTATTCAAATGTCTCTTAGTCTCTTGTATTTTAAGAGTAAGGTATCTAAGGCTGCTGAATCTTCTAATGGTGCGAAGAAATCCTATGGGAACTTTCTGAAGAAAAAAGAATATCAGACTAACGCTGTCATGACTGAAGCAGCGAGAAGGCCTCGTCCCTGACCTCAATATGCTAATCACCTTACTATTGTTGTTGTTACTCTTGTGGTTGCTGCTCCACGACCTGTTCGAGCTCCTCAACGTTCCACTGTAGGACAAACCAATACCGTAATAGGAATCAATTCGATCCTATTGCCATGACGTACACTGAACTTTATTCTGCTATGGTTCAGAAAGGTTGGGTTACTACAAGGACTCTACGATATGCTACTATCACAAGACCTGAATTATGGTTCAGAAAGGTTGGGTTACTACAAGGACTCTACGATATGCTACTATCACAAGACCTGAATCGAGTTACTTGAATTCCCATTGGTAAGCAGTAAAAAGGATTTTACACATTGCATCCTCTCAACAACCTTACTCCTTTCATGGAGTTTGTGAGGCAAATTGGGCTGTTGGCTTGGATGACCGCTGGTCAACTTCTAGCAGTGTCATCTATTTTTATCCCAACTCAATATCTTGGTGGTCAAGAAATAAAACTGTGGTAACAAACTTCAGTCTAGATATAGAAGTCTAGCCTTGACTACTATTGAGATGCTTTGGCTACAGACTCTTCTTCATGAGCTCAAAGTTTCAATTGCTCCTCCTGTTATTTTCTGTGACAATGAAAGTGCAGTGGCTATGGCTCACAATCCTATTCTTCATGTCATGACTAAGCACATGAAAATAGATTTGTTGTTTGTTTGAGAGAAGGTTCTAGCCAAACAATTGCAAGTTCTGCACATTCCTAGTGCTAATCAAAAGCAAATATTTTGACCAAGCCTGTCTCCAATGACAAGTGACAAGTTTGTTACCTTCAAGACTAAACTCAAGGTAGTTTTGTTGTCTCAGAATTCCCATCTTGATCTTCAGAGGAGGGGGGATAAGTAGATTTCGTAGAAGCCTACTTTCCCAATTGTTACCCACTTATAAACACAACACAAGTCATATCTCTAAGCAATGCGGGACTAAATCCACCCCTTCAAAATTAACACAATGAAGGTGTTAGGGGCTGCAATGAGGCAAGCCAAAGAGCCGCAATTAAGGCGACTAGGGGCGGATCTCAATTAAGGCGGAAAGTCCAAGAAGATGCATAGAAAAAAATATGATATGGTGAAGCAGTAAACAAATTGGACTATTTATGTGGAAAATTTACCGGTGCACCATTTGTGCCTGAGCTTTCTTCATTGAAATGTTCTCGGTTTCCAAGGCAATAGAAATTGAGGTAATCTTGTGGGTGCACATCATTAAGTTGCATTGATTTCAATTCTTTAGCAACGACAGTATACATCATTTGCATTGTCTGAGCCTGCATATACAAAACATAGAACTGAGCATAAACACTTTGTTTTTTTGTTGCTTTCTTATTTTATCTTTTGACTCGCAAATCAGAAAAGTCCTCTAATGTTGGGTAGACTTTGCACAGTTAAATACAGGTTTGGAAACCATTTATGGGAACAATAAATAGATTTTGATAAGATACCGCCACACTGACAACAAACCAGCATTTGTGAGAGCTCAATCCTTTGATTTCCTCATTGGAAAATTACTTACACTGTGCTCTCTAAAATGCACTATAGAGAATCCAGGTTCTAGGACTTCATAATCAGATATTGTAAATTTCTATGATGAAACAAGTTTATAAACTGTTGGAAGTCCCATAGTGATATGGTCTAAACAGTTCCATATGAGCAGCAGGAGCATTATTCGAGATCGAGACAATCATCACTTTACAAGTCAGTTTTTGGGATTGAGTTAATTAGTTAAGTGCAACTCAAATTTTAAGATAGTATTACAGCTTATCTTAGATTTTGATTGTAAGAGGGGTATTGAGAGTCCCGCGGTGGTATGGCCAAAAAAAGTCGTTATAAGTGGGAGACAACCATCTCCTTGAAAGGCTGATTTTATGGGGTTAAGTTACATCCAACCAGAATTCTACGATAAGTTTTGACATTAGATAATCACATACCTGCCAGAAAAGAATTTCTTGCACAGCTCCAGATTTGGGATCACCTTCTGGCCACATCGGTAAAACAATATAAATAGCAAATCTCTCATTAGCTCTGATTTTACTAGCAATTTTCAGTGCCAATTCCATTGGGATAAGATTATCAGCCCCTGGCCACAAAAGAAAACAATGAGTTTGACATTGACTAAAGACAGGATGTTGAATATTATCTCATTATCTTTGAAATCCTTTTTCTTTTCCTTTTGCTAAAGGAAATATGTAGAAATTAAGAAATTAATGTCTTATGAAATAATATGTAGAAATTAAGAAATTAATGTCTTAAGAAAATAATATGATTCCCTCAACAACAAAAGATATGATTAAATTTGTTTTTTTAAAAGAAAAAAGATAAAGTTTATCATGACAAAGGAAGAGATTACAGAGTTGGCTGAAAAAAATTAATCTGTTGAAAATAAAAATACCACAGCTACAATAATCATTATCAAATAAGGACCTAATTCATACTATACTAACAACACTACTTTTTTTACCGGATTAACTTTTGAAAGGGATAGGTTACAAAATTAATATACACTCAATATTTTCCTCCTAACATTAAAACTTTAAGCAATTTCTTTTGTCCATAACAGAGGAAACCACCTCACTTAATAGACAGTTATCCTGTCTTTCGTAAACATAACATTTAACCTAACCTGCATCTTTGTAAGATGGCCATGCATATGAAGATCCGATGAAGTATTGGTTTTCAATATAAATGAAATGTTGAGCAGATCTGATAGCTTGGATGTATCCTGTTTGAATGCTTTTGTCTATAACCAAATTTTTAGCACAAATGAGATTCTGCATCCAAAATATGTAAATATGATTAAGATCAATTCAAACATAATATCTCAAACTCAATAAATATCTTCTTTGCATAGCTCGTCCAAGTTAACATATTATATGTACAGATATAAAAGGATGGACAGTGAAGTAAAATGCCATTTAATAGACCTGGGATAGAGCAACATCAACACGTTTGGGAAATCCTTTCAAGGATCCTGAATCAATGGAGCGGAAGATCTGTAAAATCATGTGTAGCCCAATAAGAGTTGGAAAACAAAGATGAATTGAATCATCTCCGAAATCAAGAAAGAATAACATGCAAGTACTCCCTCCGTTTCAAAAAGACTGTCGTTTTAAGGGAAAGTTTTTGTTTCAAAATAAATGTCATTCTCACTTATTAATGCAGTAATAATTGCTATTTTTCCAATTGTGTCATATAATTATTACTCTGTACATTATTTCCAATACATTAATAAGACTAATTTAGTAAAAGTGCAATATTTTATGATAATAACATTGCATTTCTTAATCTGTGCAAAAATCTTAAACGACAGTCATTTTAAAACGGAGTGAGTAATATTTACTCAAAAACAAATTTGCATTTTGCCAACCTGGACATGCCAGTTTTCAGGATTATCTTCTTTCGAAACACATACTAAAGGATCATCCCCTGGAACAGTTGTATATTCATCCTTTGAGGTACGATGAGAAGGACTTAATATCCATGAGATGCGTTCTACTCTTATTAAAGCATCGTCATTCCATTGAGAAGCTTTTTTAAAAAGAAATGCAAACTCTTTCCACTTAGTTGCTTTTCTCCATCTTTGTTCAAAATTAATAAGAATATCATATGCAGCAGGTCCATCAATTCTACAGTGCAAATCATGCCACGGTTGTCTAGGAGCCCTTGTTCCAGACTATCACAAAAAACAAACAAAAAAATCAGGGAGCAGTAACGATAAATCAGTTTATGTATCATTTATTATTAAAAAAGGAAATGAGAGAAACAGAAATCGAAGTGTTACAATGTTATAACTAAACCACATTGCCAGTAGTAAATTGGTAGCTAAGCAGAACTGCAATCTGTCTTTTTTACTGCATAATCCATAGATGTACAATAACAGATACATATAATTAAAACTTGTACCAATATTTTTTTCTTTATTTTGAAAATGCAAAATCTATTAATATAATTTAGACTAAGCACAAGGCATGCAAAGATCAGTAGTCAACAGCAGACAATAGCGGCACTATAATGGGATAGCAGAGACCGGCCGCTATGGGAAGAGCCTTAGCGGTGCAGAACACTATAGCGGACGCTATCAGGTTAATAGCAAGATAGAGGAGTGGAGCGGTTCCCCTCTGAAAAACCGAAATTACCCCTTAAATTTGAAAAGTTAAGGGTAGTTTTGGTTTTCTCAATCAAATTTGAGTTGAGACTCAACCTTAACCTTTTTTCATCGCCGTTCCTACAATTATGTTTGAATTTTAGGATGTAATGTTTCAATTAAGACTTGTTGACGTTGATTAAGAGTTTCACTCAAAACTTGGTTGTTTTTGCGTGTTTTTTATTAAGTTTTGTGCTTTGATTTATGAATATTTTATGGGGTTTGTGTTTTGTTTAGTTTTACATTAAATATATATATGTTTATAATAATTATATGTAATTTGTCCAAAAAATGGTTAAATAGCAGTCATCAAGCTATACGCTATCCCACTTTTGGGACCGGCAGCTCTGCGCCGCTATCCGGGACTGACTACTCTAGTAAAGAATAGATCAATAAAAAGAAGAATAGATCAATAAATAAATAAACGTACACTGCAAAAGAAGTTGGTCATACAAGCAAGATAGCGAGGGGAAAAAAACAAAAAAACATTAGATATTTGAGCTAACAATTACATTTGGTTCTTCCCTAGCATTCAACCATCAAAGTCCAATAAATTGGATATCTAAGATTGTTCTAGATTGTGCGTCAAAAAGGATTACTCTAGATTGTTATTTGGAAGCAGAAAACATAATCAGGATACTCTAAACAATGTCTTGTCTAGGTAGTACAGTCAACTATTAGGGTAAGAATGAAGGGTATCTTCAGTTCTGGTAAGTGGTAGCAAACCCGAATGGTAGATAGGGGTGGTGTAGCTCTTATGATCCAATACAAGACTTTTCAAAAGATAAATTGCTATTAATTTTAATATCCTTGGTGGCAAAGCATTCAACCAACTTAACTATATCTAAATAAGACTTTTCATACAACCTAATCATGTATCCCTCCAATTCAACCTTGTAACTAGGGAGTTCATTAAGACATTATCAATGATATATCACATACTATAACGGTAATTCAAAAGCTACTAAATACTTGGTGGATAAATCATACATAATCAAAGTCTACAATGCACGTCTCGTAAAATCTTTAAAATGTAATCTTCTGACCCTATAACTTATGGATTTAATCAAAACATAATGAATAATGTAACCAGAAAACAGTCCATTGAAAGAGTTTATAGGGATATCTCCAGTCCCAACAAATAAAAAGAAATAAATGCAATATGCATATGTCATATTGGGATGACAACTTACAGGAAATGTAGGATTGTGGAAATCACCAGCAAATACAGTATCGAGGTCACGAAAAAGTCGATGCTCGGGTGTGTCATAGCGACCATCACACAAATCAAGACCTCCTATAAAAGTGGATATCCTTCTGTTATTACCAGAAGCCTGTGTGTCCACGATAACACATTTTTGGTGGTGTGTGAAGACAGTTCCAACAACCTGCATAACACCATATCACAAGCAACTTCACTACATTGTTTGTTTCAAAAGACCTAAAACAATTTAACCAAACATAACCTGAAAAAAAAAACATTTTAACTTCATTTTGAATCAACAAAAAAAAGACATACCCACAATTTAGAGCTAAAACCACAAAACACAAGGTATTTCAAATTTGACTCCACTGACTATTATTCAAAGGTTTCTATTTCCCAACAATATACATTAACTATGTATCAACTTAATGAAATAGCAAAATGAAAATTACACTGCTACCTACAAATATTTACCAACCAATAGTCCAATACTTGCCTGTTGCTTAATGAAGCTCATCTTACTGCTAGCATAGCGAGGTGCCAAAACACACATGACAGAAGAATGTTTGAAAAACTTCTTTGTTTCCTCATCATGAGTCATCATTACTCCGGTCTAACACCAAAACATGAAAACAACACAATAAGCAGTAGCATAGCAGCCAAAAAATGATGAATGCAAACATCCGAGTTTCTTACCGACTTGAAGAAGACCTTATCATGGGAAGTTTTATCATCCCAAACGAGCAATAAAACTCTCACCCCTTCTTCAGACTTATACTTAAGTAATTCACCAAGTGTTAAATCCCCACCTCGTGGCAGAGGTCTAGTAGGTTCCCTAACAAGCTTCACTTTATGGTAAATTGACCAACCCACTAAATAAACCATGTGATGAGCTTCTGTTATAGCATAACATATATCTTCCCAACAATTCTCCGCTTTATAAATGTTACCGTTATCAAGCTTAATCTCTGGTACAGTTCCGTGGGGACAATGTGCGTCTTGGTAAAGCCTCACCAAACTCCCCTTCCTCACCGGAAAATATGTGTGCCTCACGCCTTTGTGCTCGGGATCAGCCGCAATGCCGCGAAGGTATAGAGGATTCTGGTCCACCGGCGTGAACTTCATTTCCAAATGAAGCGCAGTGTCCGGTTTCGGCGGTTTACCGTTGGTCCCAAGAATAGGAAACCAACCGGAAATAGCCTCTCCGGTGGCGATTCTCTGCGCCGGAATCTTAACTGTCCCCATAGTTTGAGAACCAAAAACATCATCGTCTTTGACACGAAACTCCAAATCGACAACCGAATGTGCTAACGGAATGTTAAACCGTTCCTTCCACTCCGGATTCGGCGAGTTCTTAAGCACTCGCGTCCGTGCAACCGTAGCTTGCGGCACCATAACAGTGACATAAGGATCACTCGTAATGATCTTGCTCCGATGTCGGTGCTCCTTATGAGTGATCTCATCTGCTGCATCAGAAGTTGAATTGTATTTAATAGTATCACAAGCGGTAACACAGCGGCGAAAACGCTCCGAAACGACGTCCATGTTAGGTAACCGGCGAGCCGCAATTATCGTCAAGTCCAAGTCGCCGTGGAGAGAGGTAAAACCGTTTCCGTCAGCGCCGGTTTCCGCCATGGCGTTGGTGTTAACGTGCGCCGGGTGTAAAGTTAAATAATACTAGGATTTTGAGAAAAGCGAGAGAGAAAAAGGGATTTTTATATGTAACTTCCCTTTTTCTCAAGGCATTGGGAATGAGAGGCGAGGGTTTGTTATTGTTATGGCTTGCAAAAGTGGGAGTGGAATAATGGAATAAGCATAACGTAACAGTTTGAGTTTGAAGGAGAGTGGTTAAGTTAGGGAACGTGATTTGGATTTTCTTTCTTTTTCTGTAGGAGTATTATTTTCCTTTCTTAGCGACAAAAAACCAGTTTCTCTGCATCTCGCTGGCGTGGCTTCCTTACTCGATTTCGTGCTTAATTTGTGAATTTTATTTTATTAATTGATTGGTTTATTTAGTAATTAAAAATTCTTTTTGTAACGCGTGGATTTCGATGACAGTACGTGGGACGGAATCGCCAACGCTCAACGGGATGTGGGATTAATTTATTGGATATTTTTCTTAGCTGTCAAAATAAATTTTTATGTGAAATCAATTTTAATATCTTTACATCGTAATCGTGTTTTGGTGTGCAACTAAGGTGTTGGATAAGATGTGAAGAAACTTAGAAGTCATGAAATTTGAGTAGTTGGTGACTGGTACTGGTAGGTGTTAAAAGGCAGTGGGGCCGTGTTCGGGGGTCTCTGATATCGACCTTCAACGGCTAAGAACGACACAAAGTGGTGTGTCCTACCTACACATGAGCTTGGATTCCATTACGGGGAAACTGTTGTGTTTGTTTGATGCATATTTAGCTGTTCTAGTAAAAAAAAAAAGCTACACGAAATGAAAACAAACATGTTTAGAGCGGACCAAAGGGGACAGCCAGTAAAGCACGAGTTTTAGACCCTAAAAATGCTATGTTTATATGGATATCGAGTGAATATTTAAGTGAACATTTTCTTTTCTTCCTAATATTCGAAAATTTTACCCTACCCCCCAACATTTATCCCCCTATTCTTACATTAGACTTATAAATAGTTTATTTGTCAAAAAAAAATTTCAAATTTTTCGAGCAAGGCGAAATTTTATTAGAAATTAGAATAGTTTAACAAAGTTATTGGATACATATACATCAAATCAAAAATTATTAAGTTATTTGTTTGTTACCAAAAATCTTAAAACAAGTTAGTTGATTCATTTAGTGTTTACATCGAAAGTCTTGTTGTAAGTTCTTTGGTATTGTTGTTTAAAATTGCTCTTTAGAGAATTTAAAAAGAAGGTATCCAATAAAATAAAAAACACTATCAGATATATTTATGCATAGTTATATGGGGGAATGCAATTTTTAGCCGACAGATATCTTTGATAAAAACATGTTTGAATATTTTGTACTTAAAATTTTTTTAATGTGTTTATTTTAGTGGTGCGAACATGAGGTCGTGACAGTCGTATCACAGTCAGTGTAGGTGTATAACGAGGCGCTCAAGAGGCGGTGTTTAGCTTTGATGAGCATGTAGGTGCATTTGCATCTGCTCTAGTGTCGTTAGAGTTTCCATGAGGGTCATGTGATATGTCTCTTATGGTAAACTACGAGCATCATGTTGCTCACCATATATGGTTTGACGAGGTAAGTAAATGACAATCACTTTATTTTAAATACATTGTAATTTTGATGTTATATTTTATAATATATACACTTTAAATTGTTTTCAGGATAGAGGTCTGAAGAAACAACTAACGGTTGTTGGACACGATAGCAAGCTTATAGGATGAGTTCCACATTTCTCCCACCTGAGATCTAGATGTGGTTGAGTGACTCTGGTCTATATTCACTCCAAATAGCTAGTTTGGTGACGATATACCAAAACTTGGTATAAGCATTTGTAGAGGGATAACATCCAGAGACATCGTCATTTCACATGTCATTTGGTGAGATAATCATTACAATTAAAGGTGTTTTTTGTCTGTTTCATCTTCCGATCAAGGAAACACAACTTCAATTGCTTTCATCAAAGTAAGATCTCTATCAATCAAAATCACATGTGGACACAAATCTTTCTTGACAAATAATTTTTTCAACTTATCCAACACCCAACAAAAGTTCTCTGTCTACTCAGATTCCATATAGGCAAATGCAACACCAAATATCAACTTGGTTGACGTCATGCCAATTATTTCAAACAAAGGTGTCTGTCTATATTTGTTTGTCGTGTAAGTTTTGTCCATAACTAACACAACAGAAAAATATTCAACAAGTTGATTGAATATGGATGGGCTTAAAATATGTCTCTCACAACCAAATATCTATATCTTTGTATTTCTCATCTTTATCAAAACCAAATATTACTTTGTTCTCTCTCTCTCTCTCTCTCTCTCTCTCTCTCTCTCTCTCTCTCTCTCTCTCTCTCTCTCTTATCTCGGCACCTGAACGAGTGATGATAACAATTACTTTATTTCTAATTCCAACCATTTTAATCGACCTTATCACTCATTCTCATGTATCAAATCTTTGTGCAGTTGAGAATGCATCAGAGGTATCTATACATATTTGATTTTTATCACATATATGTAAAGGAATTTCCATAGTTGCAACATAAAAAACAAGTTATAAAATTTTAAAAAAAATGAATGCCGGAAAAATTACCATTAAATATTTTTGGTACATAAAATGGGATTCACTAGATAACTTAACAATAATTATTCTAATACACCAATGGAATACGCCGGATAACATTGTACTAAGTTATCGGGTACATTTACAAAATTTTACAAATCGAATAACTACTCAATTAGTTCTCTGGTAAAAAAAATACAAACATAACATAACTTCAAGTTATTTGGTAAACAAAAAAAGTATACCATATGACATTTCTAGAAGTTATTCGATAAACATTTGTGAGGGTGTAAACTTCTTTAAAAAAATTGGAAATCTTGAATGAATAATAAAAAGTAGGCTTCATTGTAACTTTGGCCCACCTATTTTGCCTTTTTGAGTTTTAGTCCTCCTATTTTAAAAATCACGATTTTGGTCTCTTTTTTAAGTTTTGTGTTAGATTTTAGTCATTTTCTGATTTGAGACTTATTTTTAATGATGTGACATTTAGTTTGTTGACGTGTCAATGTCAAGTAATTTTAAAAGTAATCCAATTCTTATTTTGTAAATTTAATATATATGTTAATGCTTTTTTTATTTATAAATTTTCAAAAATATTAATCTAATATTATTATCTATTCTATTTTAATAAACCAACTAATTAAAAAGGAGAATAAATAAAACATTCAAAAATAAAATCCAGTATCTTCTAAAATTTCATGAACCCTAACTCCACATTGTCAATCTACTCATTCTTGGTTCGTTGGTCACTCATCTCCATCACTCATAACTGAAAAGAAGTAGAACCAACTCCCATCAAAATCAAAACAAATTTTAAGTTAGAAAAAAATAGGAAATAAAATATATAGAGATATATTTTATTTATCAGCTTTATCTTCCTCTTCTGCAAATCACCATGTATAACAGAAGGATAAAGCTCTAGCTTCTGCTCGAGCTACTTTATCATATACTCAGGCATCTCATTACGCGGTTCAAAGAGATCTAAAAGCCTTGCATCGTTAAAATGCCTCATTGGCTCAAAGTTTAAATGAGTTGTTTGTTGTTAGTATCACAGTTGTTTTAAAGACCTTTGAGAACTCCTTGCAGCAAGTGGTGTATTTTCACCATCCACGACGTATTTTGAATGAGCAAATTCAGTCGGACTAAATGCTTAAAGATGGAAAGATCGTCTCCCTTAGGGATTAGTGACATTTATTTTGTCATATCATGTACTGTAAAGTATAAGTGAAATTTTGAGTACCTATTTAAGGTATATGTGTTTAACTTTGAGTACATTGCTTCGAACTCTGTGTGAACTTATGTGGTCTTTCCTCAAAGTTTATTGGATGTATTTAGGGTCGTGCTTGGCCAAGGGTCGGTACCCCTTCCCCCCAAGTAAAAATTTAGTTTGAGGTTGATGTGTGACCCACCCACAATTGCCTCTATAGTGACTTGCTACTATAGGGTTGATGGGCCATTATTGTCATTTTAGTGGTTTTGCCATTTTCTTTGTGTACATGCTTCGTTCTGTGGGGTTTTTATTATTGTGATTACATGCTCGTGGCATTTGCGACAACACCCCTAGGTCTTTGTGTTTGGACTTTGATCTCATTGGGCCTACCTCGGACTTGTTGTTACCTTACACAGTCACAAAGAAAGGAGATATTTTAGAATTTCTAAATTTTGTATTAACAATTAGGATTTCATCGTACACCTGTGAGATAATTGATTATATGAGAAATAACCAGGTGGAGTAGTCGTCGATTATTCTCCTTGTTCTACATATTGTCATACTAGCCACTTTTGGAGGTCGAGTGTTCATGCTTCCGAGCTTGACATTTAAGGATGCCACGCCCACTTCCATGGTTTTTCTCTCTCATTGGTCTTGCTAGAGTGCTTGATGTATTCTTTTGGCTCCCTCAAGATTAGCATTGACTATTATCGGCTCTCCATGAAGGTTGTGAAATTTGAGTTTGAGGTGGACTGGTGAGGTCACGGGATTTAGGGAGGTTGTGAAAGGTATGCCAAGAATGCAATTGTAGATACTCTTCTAAGGGGCTATAAGGAATTGCAAGCTCATTATTTGGATGTTCCTTTCTTCTCATATAGATATCATTAATTCAACACACACCCACGTATGAGTAGTTTTATTGTTAAATGCTTGTAAGTCTGATCTTCGTATGGCCACAAATTTCCCCTCTCGAGACCCATATTCTAAAACATATCAGAGTACATCATGTCACACAAACTACCCATATCGGTCAGAATTCGGAAAACATTGAAATGCATGATTATATTAGTTATGACTAGGGAGACAGTCTCATCCAGGGTTCCCCCAATTTTCTTGCAATCTTAAAACTCGATCATTTTCCTGTCAGGGTTCTTAATTGGTATGCTTCATCCTTCTTATGGATGGCCATTAGTTCAACAGTTTTTCTCTTC